CGTATAAGTTTTTCCCGTCTCCCAAGGTGATCCTACATATACATCGCCCTCCTCGGGTAAAGGTTTTACATATTGCTCCTCATATACTTCTGTTGCAGTAAGAGGAGAATCACAATTAACCCAAGCTGGCATTTTTAAGAAAGGCCATGGAAATTTCGGACCCTTCACCTTACGTATAACCGGTGGTGGAGTATTATTTTTATTTTTTTGCTGGATTTTTTCTGCAAAAGATGGGTCATTGAAAATTTTCCCTGATTTGTCATGATTTTGCTGGAAGCATTTCACCATCATAACGCGCGTGACCGAACCACTGCTGATCTTTGTCGTGTGTTCGATTACATAGTGGACATTCTAGATATGTTTTTCGATTGAAATATACATACCATTGAGAATTTTTTTCTTCGATATCCCAACTCCCAAGATATTCAGAATACTTCTGCAAAACTAGATTCGCATACTTTTTTAACGCATCTTGACCCACTATTGTTTTTTTCTGATTATTTATTTTTTCTATACTAAGTATACGGGGCCTTACTTCATATTTCAAACTAGTAGGTGGTTGAACTCGGCTGTCATTGAGATCACTCCACCCATTGTCTAGTGAGTACTGGAGAATGCGCTTCACGCGATCTTTTTTTGCAGAACCTATGAGACGAAGATTAAAATTTCGACCGGGTACCCCCCTATCAATAAACTTACCATATCTCTCTCCCGTCAATTTGTATACCAGCTCTGTGAATTCTTTAAGTTCCAGGTAATCGGTAAGAAGAGCTGGAGCATATAAAAGATGATAACTGCATTTACTAGAGTCGGATGATGTAGCAATTACCAGTCCTTTGAGAATTTCTCCCCAACTGCAATCAAGAATTCGATATAATGCTCTTATAAATGAACAACAAATACGAATGAATACATCTCTAGCATTAACCTTTTCTAATCCCATTTTTTTCACTAGAGGCATCGATATCAATAACTGGCCTTAGAGGTCTTTGTCCATTAATACATTCGTGAATTCCAGGTGAACCATATACTTCAGAAATATCATCTACAACTGAATATTTTTTATAATCCCCTTGCTCTACTTGGATGACTAATCTATCAACCAATTCTTCTCGTGTGTATGCATCAAGCAGACTGATTCCTTCTTTTGCTCCATAATTAGGTAAGAGATAGTCCCATAAATATACATCTTCTAACGAACCTTTAATGTTTGACATATCTCTAGCAGGCGAGGAGGCAATTTCGCAGATTTTATTTAGTAAGTCTTTTTTGGTAAATTTATCGTTGAATTTTTCCTGCCATAAAATATATGTCTTATTGAACTTTTGTTCTTCTACTTTAGGGGGTTGGGATGACGGAGACTTAATAGTACTGGTCTCAA